TGTCATTTTTAAACTCTCACACATAGAAATTGAGAAATGACACCTGATAGAGAATTTACCACACACGCAAACGGGCTAAAAACTCCTATAATACTTGCAAGAATGACAAGGTTATTGTAGTTTAAACGGATCTCGCAAGGTCGTTCTCCACAAGAATTATTAAATAAATCAAAGCAAACCAATTTCCAATTAATTATTAAAAAGCAGAAAGTTGAGATGATTGATTTTATAACCTACTTAAATTAAAACGAATTTAATTAACAAAAGAAACTAATGCAATAATAAAGTTGAAAGAAAAAGAAACAGTTTTTAAAATACCAATTTATAAAAGCATTAGGGTTCCACCATCACCTAGCAATCCTATGTATTTTTACCAATTACTTATGATCTACACATGCTACTTTGAAGGTTAGGTTTTCCTAAGTCATATTCTACTTGGAACCTCCAACATAGAACGTATATCTAACATGCAACCCGTCCAGACATTCGGATCAAATCGGAACATGAAAGATTCATTATGCTTTATGAAAACCCCTTGAAAAACCATGCAACCCTTAAGACGTGGTGTTCATCTTAAGTGAAATTACAATTAGTAACCACATGAAGCTAGCGTCAATTTCAGGGAACCTTCCAACCAAAATTACATCAAATTACTTTTCTAAAGATCCTAATGGTGATCAGGCATTAAGACAATTAGATAGTTTCAATCACAGTGATCAATAATTCAAAGTATGCATGCAATCAATCATAAGCAATTAAATAAAAATCACATATTCATGCTAAGGCTCAAGGCTTCGCCCTAGCAAAAGGAATTAGTTACGCATATTCATAATTGAAATCATAGAAAATATTATTAAGAATAAAAGGAATGAAAACATCTTAAAATAGAAAATCTCCAAGAACCCTAGCAATTACTATCTGTCTCCAAAGTTGTATAAAAGAAAGCCTCCCTCTAAAACTAGAACTGGCCAAAGCCTTTTAATATCTCTCTAAAGCCAGCGCACAAACCCTAACAACCAAGTATTTTATTCCCACTAAGAAACTAAATAATAATAAAATAAAATATAAAATAAAGTCCTAATTAAACTAGGAGAATCTGCCAGGTACTTGTCCAGCCACGTTTTAGCCTCAAATCTCCTCCAAATCCGGCCCATAATAGCTTGTTATAAGGATTAGGACGTTTTGAACACATCTCCAGAAGGATACGAACCCATCCGAGGTCATCTTTGGTTTCAAAAACGCAATTTAACCCCAAAACGTCGCTATTCCAGCATTGCGCATTGCTCCTTTATTTTATTGCCAGAAAATAATCGCTTGGTAGAAAAATCTGATATTTTGATACGATCAAGCCAAGTAACTCACAAACGTCATCCAATTGGAATTACTCCAACATTCGTCCATTTGACCATGTTTTGCTCTAGAGGAAATCGAATGTCCTATATTAGAAATACAATTCAAAGTATCAAAATTCTTCCAAATTATTAACCAAAATATACTAAGAATGGGGTAAAATATATAATGTGAAATTGACTCATCAACACGTATTTACATGGAATTTAAACTTGAAAATTGGAGGTCTCAAATTTCAAATTTTGTTTTTTTCCACAGTATGGAAACTCTTGATGGTCGTTTGCTAATCCCATAACAATAGGCCAAATCTGCTACAGCCCAACTAAAGATGGAACAAACGTAAAAATATAACAGGATAAACATGCCTGATTACAATTTAAGACTGACCTGTAAATCCTCTTGTAACTCATTGATAAACATGCACTCTTGAGTCCAATTGTCAATGTACCAAAAACTAAAGAGGCCTAAATGCATAAGCCAATGCGACATACTATATGTACGACTATACAAAAGTTTGAGCGCGATTCGGAGTACTGGATACTTCGGGTACGTAAGAACATCGCCTATACTATATTGTAGGGATTATTAAGGGATGCCTGCAATTCCATCAAGCTTGTGCCAACGAAATCCTCCACCAGTACATGCCAAACACATAACCTTTTCCATATGCAAAATCACCAACTAAGTTCACACGGACTTAAGATATGTAGTAATATTCGACATGTCAAAAGAGTTGAGGTTTAGGAAAATACAAAACCTCACATTTCCGATTGAAAGCTCTCAGTGGTGAAGACTTTTCGTTTTTTGGAAGCTGAAACTCAATTCAAACTCATGGCAAAACGCCAAAAGTACACAAAGCCAAATAGAAGGCTAACAAACATACATACATAACAGGAAGAAGGAAAGCGAAAACAATAAAGATGTTGCTACAAATAGCCCCGATGTCATCCCCTCAAGCTTCTCACGCGCTCACGTCAATTGGCAGACACAGCAAGCCATCATTGTTCAAAATCCTGACAAATGAAGATGGTGTCTATCGACCCAGCAAATCGCTCATCTCCGCTCCTTAATGCAACGCAACAAAATCCGCTCCATTAGCTGCCCCATGAACCCAGGACCAGCTGCAAGCTTGCAAGGAATCGCGCGTTACCTTTTAGTCAATGTGTGCACTCCTTTTTTAACTCGAGAAATAAGTTGTTTTTTACGGCATCCTTTCACCTATCAGAAATAAGGAAAACCTGTTCTATAAATTGGGCAAGGATAACCAAAGCGAGGTCCAAATCTCCCATGAAGAAACTCCCTCGTAAATATTACACAAACCAACACCACTTGCCTAGGCTCAAACTTTAGGCACACCAAAGTTGGAATATAACTTCAAATGCAGTTGTGCAAGTTATAAGATTTCTATTGCAAACAAAGTCAAATATGAATTTCTAACATTTAACTCTTATGCGAGAGAGATTAAGTCAATTTTACAGTTAAATGTAGCTTTTGTAACTTCTAAAGATGGAGGTCTCACTTTTAAATCGAGAGTTATAGCAAAGATAAAATATGACTTTGCATATAACACCAAATTCATTATATGATTTCAACTTTTTGAATGCATTGGAGAGGGAATGAGTCAAATTTACAATCAAATATAACTTTTGGCTCTGAATTTTCTGGTGTATTGGAGATAGCCTAACATTATGTTGGGTCATAGTAATTTGGGAGTGTCTTTACACTTTAATAGCATATATGCTACAAACAATGACAGAGTGGCTATCATCTATGCAAACGTGCATGTCGCAGAATAATGCTTGGTTGCTGAAAAAAGAGCATCAAGTTCTGCTAAATGAGCAAGTGCCCAAGCACAAATGAACATATGATCGAACAATTAAAGAATTGAAAACTTGAACCAACATCACCCCAAACAAATGGACACGTGTCCATTTTTTATTAATTTTTCAACTGGACTTACCTCTTTTCTTTCAGCAGCCAAGCATTATTCCATGTAGCAAAACAAAGAATATTTAAGGTCGTGATTTACACCCTAACTTCTTCCACATATAAGCTAATTAACCCTTTCTTACCGATCTTCGTAACTAAAAAATAGCTTGTCGCCCAAGAAATGAGCTTCATCAAGCACTGTCTATATCCACTAGACCAGCAACAGTTCAATGGTCCTAGCCGGCACCTATTTTTAGGCGCAGCTTGGGTGGTGGACCTGGCAAACACAGCCTTTTATCCAGGGGAGCAGCTGCCTTTTGATGGTGCTCACCGCCGACTATTTTTTAGGTGAGGCATTGGAAGGTGACGACAGGCAAGCACCGCCTGCTATGCAGCAGACCATCAGTTGCTCAATGGTGCTCTCTTACCGTCGACTATTTTTAGGGGCAGGAGTCGGATGGTGATGGATAATCACTCAGCAGACCAGCAGCTGTTCAGTGGTGGATCAGTGCCGACTATTTTTAGGTGCTGCGGTTGGATAATGAATGGCAAGCACCACCTGTTTTCAGCAGACCATCAGCCGCTTGATGGTGCTCCCAACTGCGTCTATTTTTAGGTACAGCCGTTGGATGGTTGTTCGTCGCCCCCTATTTTTAAGTCCCCATCCTTGACTCATCCTGGAGGACCCAAAATGAGCAGTTTCCCTACAACTCTTGAACTCAACCTGCAGTCCACACTCCACCCCAAGACACTTGTAGAATTGATACCAAAAACAAAAATAGAAGGCACATAAAGAATAGAGGTTTTTTTTTTTTTTTATCACAAATGATTCTTGAAATTGAACCACACGATCAAGATGGTCTATGAAATTGAAAATCAATCAATATAGTCCCTGAAAATAGGTGTAGCAAATTAGTGTGGTCCTTCCATCACAATTATGTCAAAAATTCTATTATGTGTTAATGTGGCACATAAATGGGTCTCATAAGTCATTTTCTTAATCACAAATGGACCCTGAAATTGACTCACACTAGAAGATGATCCTTGAAATTGAAAATTGATAAATTTAGTCCTAAAAATAGGTGTCTTAAATTAATGCGATCATTCTGTTACAATTCCATAAAAAATCTATTATATACTGCTTTGACACATAAATATGACCCAAAAGTCTAATTAAATTAAAAATAGATTTAATAATGTAATTGTTAATTAAAACGTTGTCAACTCAAAAACCTAGTCATGCAATCACCTCCGATCTCAACCTACACTCCTCTACCTCCATCTATGGTAACCTTCGCCGTCTCCTTTCTAAAGAAAAAAAAAATCCTTAAGATACCCATCTTTACACTCTTCACCGTATTAGACCAGGTTCGAGACAACCTTTGGTGACAGCTTGGATTGGTGATGAATCCTATGACATCACCGTAAATATTTGGAAAATCGACAGCTTTACAACCTTAATCTTGGAGAGCATACTAGGGGCTCCCCAATGCTCTTGGTGATACAAGCTCTCTGCCTTGAGATAATCCCATTATGCAAAAAGGTATTTTGACACTCTTTTAATTAATTATTAAACAATTAAACTCATGTCAGTACATTACAAATTTTTTACAAAATTATAATGAAAGGACACATTAATTTACGACACTTATTTTCAGAAATTACATTGATTGATTTTTGTAATAAAAAATCGAATAATTCAAAAGAACAAAACAGATTACTTGTGGAGCAAAACCATACTTAAATTCAAGCACTGATAAATGTACAAATATGTATCTTCCACCGCCCTTCGGTGGAAAATAACAAGTACTATTCAAACAACAAAAGATAAATAAAAATACTTCTGAAAGGGGTAAAAAAGGAGAGGAAAATTACAAGTGAACGAGCTCTAAAACCCTAAAGAATGTAGGTATGGGTAAGGCTCCAAACTAAGACATCAATAAAACCAAGAAGAAGAGATGACGTTAGTCTCTTCCCCTCGGCCGCTAAATTTCTTAACACGAAAAACGACGACGACAAAAAAGAAACAAAGGTAACCCTACGACAGATAAAAACCCTAATTAGAAGTTAAAAAGAAGGTACACTATTGGCTTTGCATGTCTTGTTTGCCCAAGAGTCTGCTTAAGAAGGGTGTCATTGCTGCAAGTAATGCCTTGGGACACTCTTCGTGGGGAAGATGGCCACATCCGGATATCGCTACTAGTCTCTGCATACGCCAATGCCCGATTAGTTCAATCGAGAAGGTGATTGTCCAAACAATAATAGGGTGTGGGAAATACGATTCAGTTCAACTGGAACCACTAGCTTTTAACTGTTCACATTATAAAAGGGTAGAAAGCGGGAACTTACAGAATTTACAAGTTTGGAAGCCATAGCTTGGGAAGATTTAAGAGAGACAAGGGCATCCTCAGCGCCAGCGATGACTAACACTGGCATGTCTTCAACTGCCTTCAGTAATGATTCTGCATTTTTTGGTGAAAGAAGTGTCTCGTATGACAATCTACCTATCTCATGGAGTGCTTCATCCCATCCTTCTAGACATAGAGGGGCCTGATTGCCACAAAAAACAAGAAGGAAGGTCACACAAACGATTACTGAAATTTGAGTACCCAATCACAATCTTGATATACTTGGCATGTACTTTAAAGCTCTGCTGTATACCTGAACCTAATCATTAATCCAAAAAATATTAATGCTTCAACCCAAATCTCTCCCCTGCACTCATATGCTCTCAACAAGACATAGCTTAAGCAAAAACAATGTTTCCAAAAAATTTATCGGCTGCCTTTTGATTACAACAATGAGTACGAGCTGCAGGAAGTGAAAGGAGGAAACATCGGAAAAACTTTTCATTCATACATTCAGAAATTCGTAGTGCCCAAAAGTGGTCAAATCTGTCTGTTACCCCTCAACTCTGCAGGAATGTGTCTTAATTTAGACCTTAAAATTTCCTTTTCAACATGTTATCTGTATAATATCTCAAGTATGTTCAGTTTCCATGCTTTCCTCTTGTTTCAACTTCAAGTGACTAAATTTACACATAAAATTCAAGGGTATACCTTATAAAGGCTCAAAACGTCCGTTGTCAACTTTGTCGCATCATACCAGGCACGCCTATTTACTACTTGTGTAATTTCTGTTCGCAGTAATGGACGAACCAGGTGCTTTTTCCCAAGTGAAGTTCTCAAGAGTATCCTCGCAAAAGCAGGCACCACTTCTCTTGACAAGCTAACATTTAACAATACTACACCTTTGATTGTAACCTGAAATTGCTTAACAACAACAAAAAACAAGTAACATTAAAATAATAGGGAAATAAAAAGAAAAACATCTATGTAAGCATATCTTTATCGATTCCTATGAATGTTGCAGGCATGGAGGATGGCCCCAGTACTTTCACGTACTGATGGTGATATCGCACTTATTATATCTTAAACTCTTTCAATAGCCACATGTGCACTTAGTGCGGAAGTGAACATACAATGTCTATATCAACTCATACAAAGTCTATATCAACTCGTACAATATAAGTAATCAACTCATACTTAGTGTGGAAGTGAACACACAATGTCATAATAATGAAAACTTCCAATAATAAAGTACTAATTTATATTTGTGAAAGTAACTAATTTCCCATGTAGGACCAGATAAGAAGCAAAAAGTGGTCCAATGAGTTTAAGATATCTAATACGGAAACTAAGAAGGGATACTCACGTTGAAAGAATTCACTGATGCTTGTACTTTTTGTGCAGCCATCAAAGCCAGAAGGCCTCCATCATCATGACCAACAAGCACCACTGAGGAAAATCCCATCTCAGAGCAGAAAGAAAGAAGCAGGTCAATCTGACAGATTAAAAAATTCAAATCATTATAAAGTCTAGAAAAAAAAAACTGGAAGAACGCATAAGCTATATGGGGAAGGGGACCAATATACGCATTGCAGGACTGTGTTCAATGATATGCCCATGTTGCAAAAACAATTTGACTAGGATCAACCTACATGATACACTATAAAACTTTGAAAACACGACAGTACATTTACAGCAAGGAAGAACCACTTCAAATACAGAGGGCGTACACAACAGCTGTATGTGTTGCTCGTTTTCTTTCCTTTCCTGATTTCTCATCTGGTCTGTCTAGTGTTGCAAGAAAAACTCAAAGGGATATCGACCCAGACCAATCAGTAGACAGTATTAATCTGCCGTTTCAAAGACAACACCACCCACCCACCAGTCTCATAAAAATAAGCAAAATAACATCTAAATTATAGAACTAGATACTACTGGCCATTGTATCGTATATTCTGTGTTCCCCGGCCGTTTATTTTCTTCGTAAGTGCTATCTCTTAAAACTTCTCATGAGGGAAGATTTAGAATCTCATCCCAGAACAGGTGAGTAGGAAGAAGTCTCTTCTGGATAGACCCCCAACATAAGGGTAAAGTACATGGAAGTTATCATAAATTAACTAAAGGGAGTGGCCAATTACCTGAGATTCAAGTTTATAAGGATTAGGCATTTCTTTATCCTCCCAATCTTCCGGTCGCAGCCTTGAGGTTAGGCCCCAACCAGGGCGATCAAAAGCAGCAACTGTGCAACCAACTTGCCGAGAAAGGGTCCCCATCACATGCCTCCATGAAAAGACTCCTCCCCCAAAGCCATGCACTAATACAATACCAAACTGACCACTTCCTTCCATTCTTTGTTTAGAGTACCAAAATTTAATGTACTACCCTCATCCTCTTCGCCAGCATTGGATAGTCTCAAGGCAGGAATCTCTTCAGAAAGAACAGGAGAAACCATAGAACCATCCAATAAAGGTACATATAGAGATGAGCCATGAAATTGATTGCTGTAGCTCCTGTGGAGATGGTTTTGGCCTTTTGATAACAAACTTAATGGATGTCTATCAAGTTTTGGCCTCCCTATAGCCATTTTTGGGGAGCTGGGTTCAAGAAACGCAGTAGATGACAAGGAACGAGGTGGTGAACCAGGCAAGCTAAGCTTGTAATGAAGAGTAAGCCCCCTGCACGTCATGAATAAGCTGTCAATATCTGCAATTACTCTGACTGGGAGTTCACCATCTCGAGCTGTAGAAAAAGGCTTACGCCTCATTTCACTGTCACTTTTTGGGGTTCTTCCTCCTGACGGTGTGGGAGATCTTGGGACCTTCTGATAGCCAGAGAATACATTTTTGCAAGAAAGGACCTGTTAATTCGATAAACAAAGTTCGTTACAAACTACCAGAAGTTCTAGTTAGATAATCATTTCTGTATAGGCAAGTGTAATAACTAGAACATAGAGCCTGTTAGAGAGCATGATTATTCCACGCATTGAAACAGCACAAAAAATTGTTTACAGAAATTAATACTAGCAATATTCTCCATGAAAAAATTTACAATTCGATCAATCCAAACAGTGGCATAGAAGCACCACTCAAACAACGCAAAAATCTTCTACAATCAAGAAGGAAGGAAATCTTAGTATGAAATAAATGAAATTAAAAAAAAAAAAAAAAAACTTATGCAAACTTACAGCTTCCGGATCAACTCGGTGAAACATGAGCTTCCTCCTTGCTCTGCAACTTGTTCTATAAGCAACCACAGTATGACCAAGGGCAAACACTACTGATGAGAGAAACAAGACAGGCATTCCCCATGACTTCTTCAAGTGGAGCTTCTGCCTTGAGAGGGAAGATGAAGCTTCAGCCTCTATTTGAGAATTTACAGTGAAAAGACATGCTTTGATTGAAAGAAGAAGAATTGAGACAAAGGAACAGAAAGTCACAGTTCCAAGGTATGGACCGTGTGAGAGAGCAGGGCCATCGCACATGGAATACACGCCTGCAAGAAACAAAATCCATAAATTAGCACATTAGTGTAATTATACTCAAACTCCCTTATATGTACCGCAGACAAGGAAGGTTCACTAGTATCGCTGCAAATGTTTATCAAATTCTGTAAGCAACACCAAACAGACATCTTTTGTATGGTTGCCGAAAAACATAGGCATTAAAAGGGACTTTTCTGCATCACTCGAAAAGTAAAAACTCAGCTTTACTAAGCCAAATACTCAGAATTGACATTACTTCCGAGCAAAATAGCATTTGTAGGTTCAAAGGGAATGTTCGAATCCGAAAAATTCAACTTTTTTAACGGAGCAGGTTTATAAAGTTACGATTCTAAGAAATGTATTATTTTGAACACACAAGACACAAGCACATTTTGCTCAACAATGTCAGATCATCAAGGAATAAAACCCAGAAGGAAAGTAATCATAATAAACAAGCAAGCTTTTAAACAAACAATGTGACTTTGTCATCAAATAACAAAATTTTAGTAAAAACAAAACCTCAAAGTTCTTTCTCATTAGCTACAGAAAATCTTGGGCTGAAAGCAAATAAGTGTCCAGAATTTTTTTTCAAATTAAAATTAAATAAATATTGGATTCCTAAAGGGGAATATCAAAGTTCAATCACAAAAACTAAAAAATAAAAATAAAAAGCTCAGAGAAAAGAGAGGAAGATGCATACAGATAATGATGAGAGATCTGATAAAGGAGACCAGAGGAATATCGGTGAGCGAGCTCTTGAAGGCATATCGATGCAAATGCTCTTTGAATCCGTAGCACGTGACGCACGTGAAGCTGGATATCAACACGCACGGCACCAGCATGTCCCCTATCGCCACCAGCACCGGCAGCGACGACACAAGCAGCGACACCACCATCGCCACCATGAAGAACACCGTCCGTACGCATCTCCGAACCTTCTCCAAGAAGTAACCTCCCTTCGCCATTTCAACAACAACAAGCAACAGAAATGATCCGAACCGACGGCCGTCGCTTTCTCTATCTCCTCCAATTATATACACGAGCGAACGAAAACACCGATTTTGATCAGACGGCGGCGGCGCTCCCCAGCCGTATCTTATGTCGGGCTCCTCACGGAGCTCACTGGAACTGAAATCGAAACCCTAGCCGAGCACAAAAAGTTCAGACGAAACGGCGGCGGAGGCGTTGGCTTATCCGCCATTCCCCGGCGCGAGTATAGGGGCAAAACCGGAAATATAGAACTATTGCTGCAAGACCAACGCTGATGCCATGGAAATTGCGGCAGCGGAAGGTAGAGAAGGAAGAGGGGCCAGGGTTTTGAAACGAAGAGACGCAGAGACGGAGGAGCTTTTGAAATGAATCCAAAACAACTCTTCTTCTTCTCTTTGGTGGTGTTTTCTGAAACGTTGTTTTGGTTTTCTCTCTCCTCTCTCTCTCTTCTTCTTCTCTCCTCCTGTGTTTTTAAAAAATTCATTCATTTTTAAAATTTATTATTTTATTTTTTGAAATTAGAGTGAAATTAGAGGTGGGAGGGGGTCTTTGTTTTCATCGTTAATCAAACTCAACTTTTTCACTGTTCTCTAATTTTTCGTCGTATTAATTTTTCCAATACACCGATATTGTGCATTAATCTACATCATACTCGTTATTTGACATCTTGATTTAATAAAAAAATACAACATATTAAAAACATGACCTTATTTTGTTAGAATAAAACGCGACAATATCAATTTCATAGACATTCTTGAACACATGACACAATAAACTTAAAAAAAAAACCTTAACTATCAGAATAATTCACGATTCGGTTATTTTTAAACTTTTTGGTCACCTAAAAAAGTAAAAACCTTTTAATCCGAATAAATTGAACTATTCAGCCTGTTGCATATCTGGCATGTCCTTCCTCTTTTTTGACGTTGACAGAACTACCCCTGGTTGTGGACAAATATTTGTTTGTTTGACCAAACTACCCTTACTTTTAAATTTTATATTTTAAATGAATGCCAGAGTAACGGAAAAAACAGCTAAAAGGGGCGAAGCACCTGCAAGGTGACGAGATGTATACTACAAGGACAGCAGTAAACCCAACCAAACAATCAAACAAACATAAAACACCGGCCAATCAAAATTCACAAATTTTTGCTACCATTAACTGCTAACGTCATTAAAAAAAAAAAAGTTAACTGTATTTGCAATTATAAATAATCATCCATGACATCTTTAGCTCAACTAGTGTGGGAGTGGTGAGAGAGATACTTGATGTTCAAATATTGTGGCGCTGGTTTACTTCTGAATTTTTACGCTACACGCATCCACAACAACAATAACGTTTAGAATGAAGCGTTGATTTAGTTCTTGAACTATCATTTCAGTGAAAATTAGGTTTCTGAATTATTTTTTTCGGTAAATAAGTCCTTAAATTCATCAAAAATTGCTAATTTCTTCCATATTATTATATTCAAAGCTATTTTATCCAATTTTTGATGAACTTAAGTCACTTGACACACTTTAGAGTGTAATACCATCATTTTCTCACCTATAAGCCCTTAATATTTCATATAATTATAATTCAATGATTGATTTTTCTAAAAAAAAAAAAAAAATTGTTTAGGAGCCTAATTTGTACTCAGATGATAATTCAAGGACTTATTGGCAGTTCATCCTAACTTTTATAACTTTGCTAATGCATAACTTTTATAACTTGTTAGTGCAAATTTTTCGAGTCAAAACTTTCCATATAATACTAAAATATTCAATTAATAGTTTGAGAGATTATACTTGTGATCGTAATTAAGTATATATTGACTCAGCAAATTGAATACCAACAAGGGAGTAATACTACAGTTACAATATCAGTATCACTTATTTAATAGCGGTGAGACCTATTTGTAATGGTGCTCTATTACAGAAATATTACAAATGTGGTATATAGAATATGTAAATATTAGAATTTTTTTTCCAAGAATATGGGTTATGCCTTTTCAAGAATTTTGTTTTTCTTATTAAGTTCATTGACAAGTTCCTTTTTTGGCTAACTAACATATTTGACTAGTTCTTTTTACTTTTTTATTTATTTTGTTGCTAAGAGTTTCCATAATAAGTTGAGATTGAGTTATCACTTGTACGAACTAATCGGTGTTGAGAATTTGGGATCTTCATATTTAATTGCAAATGCTCTAAATTCTTGAACCCCAAAAAAATAGAAATGCTCACAATTCCTCGCACATATAAGAGTGTGTCACTTAGTATTATAGTACATTAGTATTCTTCACTACTTGAAAGTGAAACGTCTTAAATAAATTTGAATCTCGTGGATAATGAATTCGATACTAGTTAGCAAATTATTATAACAGACCTATTGTGTGTTTTTGTTAGTATGAAATTCTAACTTCAAATCTCATAGATAACGAATTCAATATCAAATTATTATAACAGATGTGTGGCTTAACCCAAGTTTGCAGGCCACACACTTGTTTAGTTTTTTTTTTTTATCACATAGTTTAATATTATTTGAAACACTCAATATTTTTGTTGTACACAATAAAATTATTTATAATTCAAAACTGAAAGCACCAAATCTTCGCCACTAAGAATTATTTTTCTAAAGTAATTATCAATTGTATATACAAATATAAAATAAATAAATAAATTGAACAAACAATATTATTTATACCAGGGGAGAGGGGTGGACTTAGCCTCAAAATGGGCTAGTAATAATGTGATACAAATTCGCTTTTGATGAGAATTGAACCTAAGACTATTAGTTACATGTGCAGAGGAATACTACTAGACCTTAGTACTAAGTGACAAGTGAGGAAGGCAACACGAAGACTTCCTAGAAAGTCACCCAACTTAATACTAATCTCGTCCAAACTTGCTTAATTTTGTAGTTTGTGTGTGATATCCACATATCTATTTTTACTTCTTACACACCTTTTTAATTTTTTTGTTCACATCAAATGAATTGATGAAAAACAAATGACAGAAATTAATAAAGAGTATATAAGAAGTAAAAATAGATGTATAGATAGTACATCCCAAAATTAAACAACAATACTAATTTTTTATATAAAAAAAAAGGGACAAAGTAGGAAACTAAATTAGTTTTATTGAAGGAGTCGTTGGGCAACTAGGCATTTGGGGCGAGAAGCTCAAGAACGTGACCGTTAGGAATGGACTGTGGCAGCATCGTGGTCGGGACCAGAAATCTAAACAACGCCACAACCCCCCCCAAACATCCACTCCTTCCCCCCTACCAGGTCACGTCGCTTTCACATTCCTCGATATTTGAATGTCCACCGGGTCCCACGTTTCCTGCTGCTCTCCCTCGCCACGTGGCGTCCCGGGATAGCCTGTCCACTACGATACTGCTCTGCGTCTCGGCTCAACAGCTCGGATAGAGGATTATCTACCCTTATAATTTTTTTATCTTTCCATCTTTTATTATTTGAAAGATAACGGTTAATTCATGTTAATATATAATATTAATTTTTTTATAAAAATAATAAGATAAAATATAATATATGAGAAAAAAAATGAAAAATTATAAGAATAAAAAAGTAAAGAATCCTTTTTTTTTTTTTTTACCGCGTTTCGGGGTTTTCTCGGATTCGTTTTGGACACAAGAGTCCAAGGCGTGGGTTTGCCATTTGCAGCGGGCATAAAAAGTAAAAGAAAACTATTACTAGGCAGAGGTTGTCAGCCACCAGCTTTTACTTTTCGTATATTTATTTTCTCGTCAGCGTACAGCTACCATTCTGCGCAGGTCAACATGATTCATGAAAGTGATTCTTCTTAAGTAATTTGCCAATTTAGTCGACAATTTATGTGCTTTTTCGTTTCGCATTTACGTCAAGAGAAGTGATTTTTACATATTTTTATTAGTTTTTTTTATAGGAAAATTAATAAAAATAGGTTAAAAATTTTGAGTTTTAACGATAAGGACAAAATAAAGAGTAAAGTAAATAGTACCAGGTTTGACTTTTTAGTGTAAAAATATGGTTTTTCGTTAAAGTGAACAGTACCGTGAACTTTTCATTAAAATTTCTTTTTTTATTTTATATTCATGTTTAATTTGGTTGTTGATTTCGTTTAGTTTATTTCACATTGTGGTTATAAATAAAAAGAAATGTGTGAAAAACTAATAATAATGTGTGAAAATCATTTCTCTTACACGAATGGTTAGTGGAAAATGGTATTCTTGATAATGTGCATTTTAGTTTTCTCATCAATCTCACAAGGATAATATTAATGAGTTAAAAATTTTGATATGTTTGACTTGATTTTTTAGAGTCTGCTTAATAACTATTTCAGTTTTTAGTGAAATTTGAAAATTTGGTATTTGGTTGGTAAATGTTTTACTTTTCATTTTGAGGTGTGAGTTTATTTTGGGTTAACTACATTTTACAACCTTTAGGTCTGAGCTGACTTATTTTTGGGTTGACTACATTTTACAACCTTTAGGTTTGAGCTGGTTTTATTTTTGGGCTAACCATAATTTACAAACTTCATGTGTTGAGGCTTTGAGCTGATTTTCAAGATGAGATGCGTGCTTCTAATTTTCTCATATTGCAACCTAAAGTTTTGGAATTGTACCAATTAACCATGTTTGTCTCTTTTAATATCTAATCCTCCATTAAAATGTGGTGCAAATTATAAGGATACTACGCTCACTATATCATTAATTTGATAAGTGATCAAACAATAAATTTGATCAAAAGCATAAATCGGTACAATTTTAATACCTTATGATGTAAAATGAGAAATTTAAATATTCTAAATTTTAATACTCTATGTAGTTTTTTTAAGACATTCATTATTATCTAAACTAAAGGTCATTATAATTTTGTTCTAATTCGACTTTGGTGAAAAACGAACCTAAGAAGATGGTTTTCGGTTTTATAGTCACATAATCTCCATATTTTTGCAATCTTGTCCTTTTATTTTCTTCTGTGTTGTTTCCATGTCTTTGTGATTTTTTTTTTTGGGGGGGGCGGGGGGTGGGGGGAGGGGAAGGGGAGGAGAGGGATGGGGGGTCACTTGAAAGCAAGACTTCCATTCAACACCTCATCGGGGCTTCGAAGGTTTCTGTTTGGAAGCAAGAACTAATATGTTAGCATTGGACATAAACATCTTGATATCCAACCGTGATTCTATATTCTCATTCGTCTAAATCAAATTTGGCATCCAATTATCTTTGGTTCATGCCACACCGATTTGACTACAACTCAATTGCCTTTTATCTCTTGATTTCAATGACACAAACAATTTTTCGTTAACGCATGAAACTCATTTCCTGCATGTGTTATCACCTTTCAAATGGGAATCTTATGACAGAATTTTAATAGTATGGACTACTCAGTAAAACAAGAAATGAACAGTCGGACAACCAATAGTTCGGATTATTAAAGACTAACCATTTTATGTATCCTAAATTGAAAAGTACATGAATATATAACTTGGATTACTACTTGGAAAAAACAAATCAATGTACATCAAAGTGCAAATCTCAATGAAAGGCTAATACAATTTAGAAAACTGAATCATAATATTGGCATTAGATCTACAGACTGACAAGGAAATTTTGAAATTTGGAAGCATATGGTATGAAAACAATAAGTAATGGAGAACACATGTACTAAAATAATCAAAGGGTCAATAGACCAAGTCACCACACACACAAAATTCACAAAAAGCATATTTGATATTTGACTTTATCAAAAGCTGACAACTACCAATGCCGGTCAAGGCGCGATTACATAAGCTGCAAATGTGCTTATACACTAAGGACCACTATCCTCTCCTAATCTAAGGATGAAGATCCTCATGATCAAGAGATATGGACTGTTGGATGAAAATTCAAAGGCTATAAACAGGGGCCATTTAAAGTTATAATAATTATAACCGTTGGATTTTCATCTAACGGTCCATATCCCTTGATCATGAGGATCCTCATCTTTAAATTAGGAAAGGATCTTGATTCATACACTAATTAAATTAGAGTAATATTATTCGTATCATATTTTTAGTACCACATTTTCATACCATCTTAGATGATATTTGATGTGGACAACCACATCATTTGAATTAATTAAAATTTTAAATTTAGTTCATTATTTAATAAACTAATAATTAAGAAAAACTAATTAATTAAATGATGATTGTGGTATACAATGAGTCTTTCTCCTTCATTTCCTTGAATTTTGCAAATTTTTCAAATGATGTGTCTGTTCACATCAGATATCACCTAAGGTAGTGTAGAAATGTAATATAAAAACATGGTATGAATATTATTATTCATTAAATTATTAATAATCTCGACTTTTATTTTTATTTTATTTTATTTTGGTTCTCCAATACTTTTGTGTTTTCTAGTGGGGGGCATAATTAACTAGGTGCTAATTAATTTCATCCTAGTATTGTTAGTTTTTTGTGTTTTCTTGTTGTAGGGGCTACTTGTTCAATGGGAAAGCAAGACATATATGAAAATGAGAGTGAATCTTCGAGAAGAATGCTACAAGGTTGTACTTGTAAGCAAATTTAATACGAAACTGAGAAGTTGTCACGAGTGAGGTCGGATTAATAAAAAAAACCCTAGAAAGAAGGCGTGTTTGTGATAGAGCGTGAGGCCAAAGAAGTAATAATTTCATGCAATCATATTTTAATTGCCATAATCACTAGGAAACTGAAGGACATACATATACTATTCAGGATTAGTGAAATGGTCCGACTGTTACAAGTTGGCATGCACCAAGACGCCCAAGCTCTTTTGAAAAGCTATCTATCATTAGCTACTTTGAAGGCTTATTTTTTACTGAAAATTTGATATTACCCCTTGAAACTATATTTTTCTCTACTAAAACCCATCTCCTTTTGTTTTCTTGAATAAAGCCCATTGACTAACCTTCAATCAAACAAATTCTTTAATTAAGTTTGACTTTTCAAATTGTGTATTTTTTGAATGCCTAAACTACCCCTATTAATACTTGGATGGGGTTTTTGGATCAGTTACTTGTTATATCCATTTAATTAATTTTATATATTTTACAAAATAATTCATGCCATTCATTGTATATTCAATGTATTAACTTTCAAATTGTTATAACGTGCTAATTGAAAAATAATAATACTAATTTCATAATTTGGAATAGGTAAATTAATTTCAATGTAGGCAAATTAGTATAATATTAATAAGTAGGTAAATTAGTATAATATTAATAAGTAGGTAAATTAATTTAAATGTAGGTAAATTAGTATAATATTTTATAAGTAGGTAAATTAATTTAAATGTTGGTAAATTAGTATAATATTTATATGTAGGTAATTACATGATTCAAAATGCAGGTTTATTAGTATAATATTTTATAAGTAGGTAAATTAATTTGTATGTAAGTAATTACATAATTCAAACAATATTATTTTTTCCGTACAAGATTGTCTTTCTCTTTTAAATTTGGTAAATTAATTTATATATGTTGCTAATATTTATGATACAAGAAAGGTAAAATATCCATATGGATTTAATTGCTCATCATAATTAGGATGAGTAATAACATTTATTGACCAAATTAGGATTCTATGGCATAAGTTGTAATTGTATTGTAATAGTTGGTCATATATTTGTCTACATGGTAGGCTATTTGAAATTTGGGTTTTATTTGAATGTTTAAATTTAGATGGGTTTTTATTTGGAAAATAGGAGTTTCAAGGGTCTATATCTAAAGAACCCTATTTTTTATTAAAGTTTGCAAGGCAATGAAGGATACAAAAGTTTGAATTCAAATTTAACGACTATTATATAAAAACATTAACGGTAGTTTAATTAAACTAATCAATAAATTTAAAGTATAAACTTAAAATTAATAAATTATTGAGGAGGTTATGTTTAGCCCATTCAGTTAGAGATGATATATGAATATGGTTTGACACTGTTTATTTAAAAATAGTTTTTTATAGGGCTATAATTCTGGACGGGGCAATGTTTAGCCCCTTTCAGTTGGAGATGGCTTAAGTGCCCCAAAAGCCTCAACTATGCCCTAGTGGTATCTTGGTGGAGGTAGAGTCAAGACTTTCTTAGAAAAAATAGCACATTCATAGCACTTTGACGAAAACCATAAACAGACTATTTATCTCTTCTTACACAGTCATGTTTAATTATTTGTATTGCTTTTGTTTGATTTATTCAAATCGATGGTAAAAAAAAAAGGGTTATGTAAGAAGTTAAAAATGGTGTGTGAGAATCAACTCCCTTGTTCTAATCCCTTCGGTTAGTTCAAGTGGTAAGTGTAAGTGGGAAAACGGATTAAGATTAGGCTAGATAAAATGTTTGATTCTCTTTTATTGTAACCCAAAAAAAGTAGCATATCCTTTGGCACAACTTGTATAAGTTCTTGATAATTGGAGTTATACGTTCTTATGACAACACTATATAAAAGAAGGGTGATGAGCGAGGAGAGTGAAAATCAAACTCTTGTTCTAAATTCGAAGTACTTTACTGTTGAATAAAGTTCATTACCCCTAGTTTTATGTTGGCTTAGTTACAAGTACACCTCTTGAATTCAAATCGAGTATCACTTAATGTGACATCCCGTCCCAAAATTATAGAAAACGTGTGTGTGAAATGACATTTTTGCCCCTAGTTCGTTCTCGTTACATTATTGGTTGCTTTGTGTGGTGTGGCATGTGTTGGGCCACCCACACACACACACACACACTGTCACTCTCACTCTCACTGTCTCTCCCTGTCTCTCTCTCTCTGTCTTCCCCCGAGAACCCCATTCCTTCTTCTTCTTCCATTTGAAAACGTACGGACACACACCAAACCCCTCAAACCATCACAGATCGAGGAAACTAAGGACACCTTCGAACTCGTGAAGCTCGTGTGAGTCCAACCATACCATTTGCAGGTGAGAAATCCTCCATTTTCACGTCGATTCGAGGTTTTCCGATTTGAGTACTATTCATGCAAATTTAACCTAGCTAGTTTTTGGGATTTTGAAGCTTGTAGTTGTGTTTGTGAGGTTCCCAGGAGTCTCGGAGTAGCTCGTTTGGTGATTTTGGACGTCAGGATCGTTGGATGTGGAATTGGCCGAGTTTTGGAGTTTTGGACAGGTATAATCTTGTAGTTTTAGGCCTTAAAACTTGTAGGATCGTGTTCTACTAGCTTAGAGCTTTAATTTGGTGCAAAAATCATGAAAAACGGTTGAGAAACGAGCGAGAAAACCCAAGTTGCAGATTTTCCGGCGACGGCGTCGGAGCCTCGCCGGAGAAGGTGACGGAATATTCCGTCAGAATTCTGACGGAATATTCCTGACACCGTTAACGGAATCTGTCAGTTTTGACGGAATATTCCTAACGGCGTCAGTTGACGCCGTCAGTGTGCGCCACACGTGCCTGCGCGTGGCCGGCGCGTGTGGGCGTGCCTTGGCCGGCGCGTGCGGCAGAGGAAATTTTTTCTAAAAATATGGTTGTGATTCTGAGGTTGTGTAGAGCACGTTGGTATATTCAATTGTCCATTTTGAGCAATGTATGAGAAGTTATTTTGAACGGAAGGTTATGTGCTTTAAAATTAACGTTTTTATAGTTAATTCGCATATAGGTGATTCCTATCCCGAGGACGAGCGTGCACACTCGAGGCAGGGGGGCTACGACCCTTCCACATACCAGTGAGTGGGCTTTTGGTTTTCCGTATATACCTATATACATATAATTCCCAGAAATTAGTATAAATGCTTATTCGTTATATGCCGTTTCTTTTATATAATTGGTGGTTGTGCATGATTAGTTGCATCTACGTTTATTTATAAATTCAATTATGTGTATGTATATATATATAATGGTGCTGTGGAGGCACAGGTAAGTGCCAGGTAAGCGTTATTTCATATATGCATTCAATAGTGATTAGAGATGCTTAGAGAGCTCATAACCTGCACCCCCGGTGTTAGTGCTCCCGCCCAGAGTAGAGCACAGTCCTTCACGTGTTGTTCACCTCCCGCACCACACACTCAGCTTGGATCCAAGTTAGGTGCACAGTCCTGTCGTATAGACCACTATAGGTGGTTCCGACTCGTAGGTGACCCGCGATTATTCGCACAGCCTTCACGTGATCGTAGCACTAAAGCGTTTATATGTATTACACCCAGGCTTGTCGTACAGACCACTACAGGTGGTTCCGACTCGTGGGCAGGTTTAGTTGTTGAGATTGAGATTTGAGCTCTAGATTCAGCCGTACAGGTCACTTTAGGTGACTCCGGCTGCCAGTGATAAGTTATTGACACGGTTTATACCTGAGCACTTGCATATTATTATGAGGCTTTGAGCATGACGGCATACCTTTGAGCATGATGGCATACCCTTGAGCATATTTGGCATATTTATACCTACGTATATATGTTTATTTTCTGGGAAGTATACAAGTTTTACGGCGAGGGGTTAGAATGTATTTTATGAAATGGTTTTCAAAGAATTTGTTTTTGCCCACTCACGCTTTTGTTTTGCGCCCCTCCAGGTTCTAGTAGCTTAGCGGGTTCGGTAGTTTTCCCAGAGGACGTCCCGGCATTTCTGACAGACACTCACCGATGTAGGGTCACCTTCGGGTGCACTATTGTTGTATCTTTTCCTTTGGACTGCTGTAGGCTTTAGGCTCTGAATTCAGCGTCTCACTTACACTAGCACTTATTTTATCACATTATGTATGCTAGTTTTTTAAATTACTCGTACTTTTATATTACTTCTTTTAACTTCCGCATTGTGCACATGGCTACGTCACTCCCACGTGACGGCCAGCATGCCCTGATCTTGGTCGGGGTGTGTCACTTAATTTCATGAAACTCAAAATTTGTTATTTAACTTTTAAAACTCAATTTTGTGTCTCATTGTTTCCCCTAACGTCAGAATATGTTAACAGATTCGTCAAAACTACTTATATGGCTAAAAAATTATTCTTATTGTGCCAAATAAATAGTTTTAACAGACTTTGGCAATATGGATCAAAGTGGACACGAATTGAGTTCTAAAGAGTTAAGTAAACAAAATTTAAGTTTCAAATATTAAGTGAGACTCAAATTGAATTTTAGAGGATTAAGTACTTATTAATCTCTTCACTTCTTGTTTTTGTTCAATAATCTCTTCTTACTTTTGTGTAAGAGAATCAAATATTTTCTCACCAGTGTATGGTATGGGACAAAAGGGGGAACTCGGACATGAAAAATGGGACATAAAGGCAAATGCAAAAGCATGAAATTTGAGTCATCCTGTCACTCCAATTAGGGTGATGTTCCCCCAGTGTAACTTTATCTTTCCCTGTCTCACTGAAAAATTGTATGGAGAAAAAGGGAAATATTGACAAATTGATGTCCTCCCTGATCTCGTGTGTGATCTTGTATGTAACTCTATCTTCTCCTGATCTCGCAGTCTAGAGATGACGGACCGAATAAATCAGACCGTTCAAGAGAGGGAGAGATCTAGACCCTTGATTTGTACGAAGTGGGTCAGTTGGTGGGTTAGCTAATAGGGACCATATAATTTAAAATGAGTGATTCAGATTTCTTGATCCGTCGACTCTGGCTTTTGAGGTACAGAGAGGACTCAATTCCTCCTAAGCTAGCAAATCATAAGGACCCATTAGGGTCCACACTCCCGTACCATTTAGCTTATGAAATTTTACGGAAATAGATCATCTTCTGATCTCTCCCTCCAAAGTTCACGGATCAAGTGATCTGGATCTTTAAAATTTGATCCAACGGCTAAAAACAGAGAAGTTAGTAAAAACTTTTAAAAGCTATAATAATTTTACCCATTGGATCAAAATTTTAAAGACCCAGATCACTTGATCCGTGGACTTTGAAGAGAGAAATCCGGAGAGGATCTCTTTCCAAAAGAAGATCACATAATCTGATTATACTAATTAATATTCATGAATTATTATTTAGATTAAGAAAAAATGTCAATAATCAAGACAGGATTTATGGGTCGAACGTACTTTTGGTTTTGTGGCGGTTATTTTTGTAGTGGTTTCGGTTTGAAGTTGCTTAACCGTGTATAGTTCATTCAAATGGTGGCAGAAGCAAGAGTCTTTCTACCATTATGTAATGATATTAATGGCCTGTTTGGTATGCAATTTGAATCGTTTTTTTTTTTTTAACTTAAAAACAATTTTTGAGTCTCAAGTCAATAAACTTGATTTTTCTTTTTTGGTCAAACGAAATTACTTCCATTAAAAAAACAGTACGGAAAGTAAAAGGCCCAAGCAAAATGAGAGCTGCAACTCAAGATACAACGGGAGACCCACACAAATTTAGGCTCGTAGGCAGAAAAAACAAACAACAAAAAACCCTAATATGAAGCCGCCACCGCCACGTCCTAGAAGGAAGTCAAATTCTGAACTGAGAAAGTAGACACCAGATCCAAATCCTTTTCACAAATTCCTACAAATATATACAAAGTACCATATGGATAGAAAGTGAGGTTAAGGGTTATGTAAAATACTTGTAGTATGATGGATGCCACAGAACACTTAGCCTTGGCAGGGATCCGGCATGCCGGTTAGGGAAGGAGAAGTGAGGGAGAGAAATTGATCTAATATCCAATTTCGGATTGAAGCCCGCAGATCCGAGCACATGGTTGGGTGGATATCATGGCTAAAAAGGAGGGAGGAAGGAAAAGTAATAGACAGAAAGCAATAAAAACAGGCAAAAAAACGCCGGATGAGAGACATGAAGCCTAAATCTAAGATAAACTCAGGTTTATTGAGACCAAGGAAGACTGGAAAGTGGGAATGAAAAGGGGGTGGGAAGTTGTAAGAGGGAAAGGGCAGAGGAGATGGGAGGGGAGGAAAACATGGAAAAAGCAGAGAAGATGGGAAAGAAGGAAAATAGGGAAATAGCAAAGGAGGTAGGAGGGAAAGATGAGGAAAAGTGGGGTCACTTCGTAATTTAATGAACCGAATTGTCTATCTTTATAATTTATGTTGCTCCTTTTTCATATGAGTTTGGGCCGTGTCATGTCATCCCGTCCGTTTGACACCTCTACATTAGATTGAATAAATAAAATGAATCGATAAGAAAAAAATAAAAAAGGGTGTACAAAAGGAAAATAAAGGTGTAAAAATCTTTCCCTTGAATCGCTTCCCTATTTTATTCCCGAAACGATGAAAAAATAATTAAATTTGAACTGAAACCTTTGCATTTGAAGTTAAAACATCACAAACATGGAACATTACGAAACAATCCCTACACCCTAGAATCAATCACTTTCCCATTGAGTAAGTGCATTTTGAAGCAAGTTGAATAATTGAATGGTCCAGTAATGGTGTCCAATCTCTACACATGGTTTGATTTGATGAAATTTATGAATGCATTATTTGTTTAATCACGGATTAATGATGGAGAGAATTCATATTTAATCTGAGGTCGTTTTCTCTTCTTGAAAAGTTGAATCATCCTAGTGGACATGACTAAACCATCCTCGATGAATGGATGATAACATAAAAAGGTCTCATTGATGTGAAGTAACTAAAGATTGATATTATTTTTTTATTAAGTTGGAAATTAATTGGTGAAGTTAACTTTTTTCTTTTTTTTTTTTTAATTTTTCTGAACGAAGGTAAATATATTACCAACAAAACAAAATTTACAAGAAAGAGGTCCAATTATAATAAAAGCACAAACATAGACATGGACCTCCAAAATACAGCAAAACAAGTCTAACACAAAATTATGAGCCGTAACTGCTTGCGCCCCTGCAGCCGTCGGAAGGACCCCAACCACCCAGCTCAAATCGAAAGAAGCACGCAAGAAGCAACCCGTGAGAAATAGTGCCAACGAGGGCAAATGGGGGGAAGGAGGTGGTGGGAATTTTATTTTATTTTTTTCTGATGAACAACAGCATATATTAAAGGGTGTGACCTCTAAAACAACCAATTTGCATACAATCAAATAAATACTCACGTTGTGTGGATTGAGGGAGAGATCTATCCCAAATGTGTACATCATTATAAAGAAAACCAGTACTAGTAATAGCATCGGCTAGGAAGTTGGCTTCTCTAGAAATATAATACCAAGTGGTGGGAATATGTTAATTTACTTGTGCATGCTTTAAATTATGTATTTACTTGCATGTTAATTTACGAATTTTATGCGATTAATATAGCAATTAGACCTTAATTTTTCCAATATTTAAGTCGTTACTGTTATCCATTGTAATCATCAACTTATCAATTAATCAAACTATCCTTTGTGATTTCTATCAAACTGGTAAACCACAGATTTTCGGTTCTTCAAGAAATTATGCTTGTAATCCTTTTACTTCATGATGCGTCACTCTTCCTCTGATTGTGGCCTTAATCTCCTAAAAAATCTTCTAGTATCTTCATGGCTCCACCGCTATTCGCTATGTAATAAAAAATCTAAATGCACGCAACTTGATCCCGAAGGATCTATTTGTATATATTGTTTAGTGGTCCATTTTATGGATTTTTCCAGTCGCAGGCAAGCAGCCACCACTCTCAAAAAAACCTACAAAACAAGAAAATGTTGCAAATATTCTTTGCCCCCTTTGAATTTTTCTTTTTCATCTGACAGTGATTATAACTTCCCAAAAAATTATTAGCTTTCACAGCCAAATTTTG